TTTTTTTTTTTTTTTAGAATTCCTTTGCTAAGCTGTTTCATGATTGTTTTTACAAATTAAACAAGAAAATCATTATTTTAATGATGTGAATATGTGCGTACATACACACACACATTATTTCATATGCATACAAAAATTAAATAAAAAGCTAGGTTTAGGAGCTAATCCTAAGGACAAGTGGCACCTCCAGTGAGAATACTTCAAAAGATCTAAAAGATTTTCTTGAAGAAAATTTAAAAAGTATTTCAAGAAATGGCAATGTTACTAGAATGAATATATATAATTTTGGAAAATAACAACTTTAAAAATGGTAAAATACTTATGCAAATATCTGGATAAATTTAAACAATTTTAAGTATTTATTTAAATGTTTGAAGAAATTTAAATAATTCTGTGAGCTTAATAAAAAAAATAAGTTAGACTAAAAGTCAAATACTTCTATTGAGTATTTAGAATAAAAACAATGCTTTTGGCAATAAGGTAAGTATCCTCAATTCAAACTTTTGCAATATCAAGGATTTTTTTTCACTAAATTTCAAACAATCTGACAACCTTTGTTTTTAAAAAGAGAACTCATTTTATTCAAGTCATTTAGCAACTGAGATCCTTCTATTATTTTTACTTTCAACTTTATATTTGCCAATTATTTTACTTAATTATGCACATCTTTCTGCTTATTTTTTGTTAGTTTAATTAACTTGTTGATCCTCTCATTCCTTGTATTGATCTGAAGATTCTGCCATATTTTTCTATTCCATTCCTGATTATCTTCCTTTTATTGGTGCTTATAATAAGAACAATTTATTTTCCTATTGTATAAAAATACCAACCATTTGTCTCCTAAGATAGTCCCTTACACACTTTAAAACTACTTTTCAAATAGTTTCACAATACAAAACAAAATAAAAGAAGAGCCTAGTCATAAATCCTATTATCTGATTAAAAGACACTACTTTGCATTTGCTTTGCCTGGAAGGTACTTCTCTATCCTAGAAGGCCACTTCCACCATAGAGCCTCCATGATGGCTTCATACAGTTGGAAACCATATCTCCTTCAAATCACCTTTCTGTGGCATCTACCACATACATAGATACATATTTTCACACTAGGCCATATGATTTACTTTACACACTTTCTTATAAATAAGAGATCTGATACATAGTAGGCACTTACAGTTCTGCTGAAGGCTAGTGTAATACTATAGAAAAGCTGATCATTGTGTGGCTCCATGGCATCCAATGCATTCTCTAAGTTTTCTAGCTTAGCAGAAGCCTAAAGCAAAAATAAGTATTATTGTTAAAATACATTAAGAAAAAAGAACTTAATACATATACATATGCATTAATAAAATATATATTATTACCAATTATTATAAAAGATCTTTGTTTTTACAAATTCCTTCTCTTCCAAAAAATCTTATATGTTGTAAGAAATACAATTTTTTAACAAGCTCGGTAATTATAAGTAAAAATTGTTCAGTTTTAGAATGTGTTTATTATTTGTTATTTAATAGAAACCTTTGGATTGGTAAAGATATCCATAATCTTCAATTAATTGCCCATGCCAAGCTCTCCCCAATAATTAATTTATGATATAAACAAGGTATGAATGATAACGTATTTTACAAACAACATTATATGAGATCAGCCCTTGATTTGCCTATGTAGACTGGTTTACATTTAAAATGTTTTCTACTGTAGAAAAATCATTAAGGTAAGTAATTTCAATGCCCGCAAAGTTTGATGAAGATTTGCCCCAGCTAAGAGTCTCCTAGTATTTACTGCAGTACTTCCTAGGTACTGCCACATTGACTAATTCAACCACACCAAACACAATGCGAATCTACCACGTGTTATAATACCACTTGGCTCTGATTTTGGCACTCCATACTCCAGTGAATTCACCACTACAGATAGATGTACCTTATTATAAGATTCAATGGGATTTTATCCTAAGCCTATTTAATTTCTTTAAATTTTAAAAATATTATTAATTGTATTTTGCATATGTAACACTGGTCCCACTAATCATACAGATTCGGTCAAGAGTTTTATATAGGAAACCACACATATGACAATTAATGATTTAAAGGAGTTTTGAGGGTAATTTCAACTATATAATATTTTTGATTTACTAGTTGATTTAAGATGCTGATCTCTTTGTTAAGTTGTATTTCTAGTAATCAACTAAAAACTACTGTGACATACATTCTAAATATATAAGTTCAAGACTTTAATATATGCTAGCATACCCACGTGTGTATGTGTAATGAACTATATATATTTTTGATAGGGGAAACTTCAGTAATACAATACAACCTAACAACCTACCTTCTCTATATCCCCCTCTCTACACAGATAGTAAAGAGCCAGCATTCTTAGTGCTTCCACATTTTGGTTATCTTGGAGCAGTAACCTGCAGAAAAAGCATATCAGTTAGTGTGGAAACAAATTTACATAATTTTACTAAAGGGCTTAAAAATTGATTTCCTTGTCTTACTATTCTGCTGTTCAAGTAATTTTAATTACTAAAATTCTATCTCCTGTAGAAAAACTATCACCATCATTACTTAAACTAAAAATGTCCCTAGAATTTAAGTTTTCGTAGGTGTTTAAAAAAGATATGAACAGACTGCACTTGTCTCATTAAATTATGTCTCAATCCTAAATAAAATGTCACCAACTACACAATACAGTATATTAAAAGAGTAATTCCTCTTTTCTAGGCTGATTTATTACAAGAATTTCTGGAATACAAAGATGGGTCAAACATTTAAAAACCTATTAATGTTACTCATAACACTGACATAGATTCCTATGTGATAAAAATAAATTAGAAAAATTCTGAAAAAATTTCCTTTTAACAATTGTAACAAAAGCCAAAAGAAAACAGTAACAAGTAGAAACTTAGTGAGAAATGTACAAAAGCGATACAATGTCTATAAAACTCTACTGAAGGGCATTTTAAAAAGGGAGTGAGCAAAAGGGGTAACACCAACGTTATCTCTTTACAGATGACATCGTATATTGAACTGCTGGGTCCGGTTCTCAACTCTCCCTGAAAGTGTGCCCTCTGCCATGTACCTAAGCAGCACTTCCCACAAAAGCTAGAGTGTATTTACTGCTGCTTCTTGGTGGCAACCCTAAATTCCAGAGGCCTTGCTATTTCTGCTTATTCCCCTGCACCTCTGCTATCCCTAGGAGAAGACCTTCTTCTGGGTAACTCCTGCTTTCTGACCTCAGCCCTAGAAAAACACCCTTGGAGATACCCAGGGCCCAACTGCAATGAGCTGTCACGCTCAACACCAGCTGGATCTGAAACTTCAAGCAGAGCCTCAATGAAGCCTGCTTGAAATCAGCAGACCCTGGACAATCCACACACACTTGAAGAACGGACACTTACGACCATGTGCCTTGAAACTCATGGTTGGTTGTTACATACCAATATGGCTGACTGACAGAAGACTGCTCTCAGTTTTGGTTAAAAACATTTTCCCCCCATTAATTACAGATTTAATGCAATTCAAAATGCAATTTTATAAAGTTTCTTTTATATAGTTACTTGGTAGGTTAATTCTGATAGACAACAGCAAAAAAAGAGAAAAAAAAAAAAAACTGCCAAAAGAGAAACATCATGACGGAAAACCTACTCCAAAAGATACTGAAGTCCATTAGAAACTTAGGAAACAATAGGCCTAGTTAAACAGACAAACAAAACGTACAGGGTCAATCAATAGAAGGAAAACAATAGCTGTTAGCATGTAAAAAGATGCTCAGTCTCCACACAATCAAAAAAAACTAAAATAAAAATAAGGTACCTCACTTATTCTATCAGATTGTTCAAAAAACAAAACCAAAAAAAACACACACGGATAACAGCCAACCTGTGAGGATATGGAGAGGGGACATTCAATAGACTATAATATTTCTGGGGCAAGGTGTATTACAGTAGAAATATAAATTAGTATATTTCCTAGGAGAGCAATTTGGCAGTGCCTATCAAAATTTTAAATATGTATCCTGAGGGAGAACCTTTGATCTGAGTCCTGAAATCCATCCTCCCCTTATTTGAACGGGCATATGGCTATCCAGTACTTGCTGGACACCTCTGCAGTTCCATGCGGTCAACGGGCACTGAAGCAATGTATGCTATTTCTCTGCCCAGGAATAACTCCTCCACTTTCTCTTTCCCCCTCCATCAGCTATTGTCAAGTGTTAGGAGACGGCAGAAGTGCAAGAGGGAAAGAGCCTAAACCTCTTAAAAACAGTATTGAGGAGCTAAATCAGTATTAAGAGCCTAAATCTCTTAAAAACAGTACTTGACCAACTCTAATACTCACCTAAAATAGTGCTATGTGAGGAAAAAAATTCTCTTATTGAACCATCACATGTTTAGATCTGTTTTGGAAACAGTTTAGCCCACTCTAACAGACACGGCATGTCTGACTCAGCCATGTCTCATTTGGGAAACCTCCCCCCAGAAGGATTCCTGTATGTATACTTGGGGGCGTGTGTGTGTTCACTGTAAATATTCTGAACAGTCAAAAATGTTAAACTGCTTAGTACGTAACAATGGAGAAAAACAAAACAAACTATTTGTATGTTCACTTCATAGAATCCTGCTCACTTGTTCCAAAATGATTAGGGAAAGGAAAAAATACAATTGTTTTTGTTCTCAGATGACATAAACATCTATGTAGAAAATCTGAAAGAATCAACAGAAAAATCCTCCTGGATTTAGCATCGTAGGTTATAACGTTCATATACAATATCAATCAATCTCCAGGAATGAACAAGTGGATTTGAAATTAAAAACTCACTACCATTTGGATTAGCACCCCCCAAAAGGAAATAGTTAGGTATGAATACAACAAAATATGTACAAGACCTAAATGAGGAAAATTTAAAAATTCTGACAAATCAAAGAAGAACCAAAGAATCAGATTCCTTGCCTTGGCTACGAAGGCAAGGTGTCAGTTCTCCTCGACTGATGTATAGATTGAATGCATTCCCAATAAAAATCCCAGCAAGCTATTTTGTGAATATTGACAAGCTGACTGACTCTACAGTTTATACAGAGAGGCAAGGACCTAGAAGAGCCAACACAACACTAACGGAGAAGAACAAAATTAGAGGACTGATGTTACTTGACCTCAGGACTTACTGTACAGCTCAGTAAGCAAGACAATGTGGGATTGGTAAAAGAGCAGTCAATGAGATCAATGAAACAGAGCAGAGATTGCAGAAAAAGATCCATATAAAGTCAACTGATCTTAACAAAGGAAGAAAAACAGTACAAAGAAGAAAAGATCGTCTTTTCAACAGACACAGAGGAACAACAGCACATCCACATGCAAAAAAATATATAGACACAGAGCCCACCTCCTCCACAAAAGTAACCCCACATAGACCACACACCTAAATGCAAAATGCAAAACCATGAACTTCCTAGAAGATAACATAGGAGAAAATCTATATACCTGGGTTTCCTGATGATGTTTTACACAGAACACAAAAGACATGATCCACAAGAGAAAGAATGGATAAAGTAGGCTTCAATAAATTAAAAACTTCTGCTCTGTGAAAGACACTCTCAAGAGAATGAAAAGACCAGCCACATAGAGGGAGAAAATGTTTGTTAAAGACATACCCGATAAGGGACTGTTTTCCAAAATACACAAAGGACTCCTCAAACTCAACAATGAAAAGCAACCAATCAAAATGGGCCAAAGACCGTAACACACACATCACCAAAGAAGATATACAGATGGCAAGTAAACATACAAAAAGATGCTCCACACTTATGTCATCAGGAAAGTCTCTAAACTTTAATCCATACTGAAGCAGAGCCAGCTTCCTAGGCAATCTATGCTTCACCTGTATCTTGAAAGGATGCTGCCAGCTTACATAAGTTCTATCAAGACATCCTTATTTTAAAAGTATATTTTTATCACCAGTGAATTTTACTTTTTTGTAATTTCAGTATTAAATGTCAAAACTTCATTTGTTAGTCAGAAGGTATTGAGTTGTGACCCCAAAATACTTACTATACATTTATTGTCAATCAGTCTCACAGCTTTGAATGGCATCTAGGTGCCAGTTACTCTAAAATATTTATCTCTAACCTAGACCTCTCTCCAGAACTCAATTCAGCTATCCAGCTGCCTACTCAGACATCCATCTCTACTTTTGGTTTCTAAGAGGCATCTCAAACTTATGTTGTCGAAAACTAAACATTTCACTTGTCCCTAAAACCTTTTTTTTTTTACAGTCTTCTTGTTCAGCTGAAGACAACTCCATCCTCTAGCGCAGGTAGCATTTAAGAGCACAGTCTTTGAGACCAGAGTGCTCTTCATTTGAATCCTCACTCTACTACTAACTGGCGATGTGGCTTTAGATAAACTACTAACCTTCCCCTGCAAAGTAGAGATACGCTAACAGTACCTACCTCTTAGGGTTGTTGGAGGGATAAACAGTACAACCTAGTACCAGGCACTCTGAGCACTTATCAATAGTTCATCTTCATACTGTTGGTGTTATTTTAGCTGTTCAGGCTACTAACCTTGGGATCACCTTCAACTATTTTCTTTCTCTCACTTTCCTAATCAAAACACATCCAAATTCCTGTCACTTTACAAAGCATTCCCACTACCAATATCCCGGGCCTGCCACCATCGCTCTTCTTGTTGATTCTGGCCACAGCCTGCAAAATAGTCTTCCTGCTTCTACCCACCAGCCTGGGATGAAGCACAGCAGAGTGATTCAATTGCAATTCAGATCACGGCACTCCTCTGCTCAGAACCCTCCAAGGACTTCATACTTTACAAGAAAAATCAAACTGCTGACAATGACTGATAATGCCTTTCACACCCTCCCTTTTTGAACTCCCTCATTGCTTCCCACTCCTCAAACTACAGGATAAGACAGATGCTCCCGCCTCAGATATTTGCATTTGCTCTTCCTTCCTTCTGCCAAACCTTCTCCCAGACACGCGTCCTCACGTACCTTCTGTGGGTCTTTGCTCACATGTCATCTTCTCGGTGAGGCTTCTCCTGAGCAACCCACCGAACCAAACCCCTTTATAGTGTCTCAGCCTTTCCTGTTTTATCTTTTCTCTATTGCACTCATGCTTTCTAATACATGGCATAATCTACTTATTTGGTTTGATTATATACGGCTTCTCTCATTTGAATATAAATTTCATGGGCAGGTGTATTTGTCTGCCCAAGAAGAGTGTCTGTCTTAGAATAGGTACACAGATATTTATGTAAATCAATAAATTCAAATTTTAAGAGCAATAAGTGTTTAAACTTTTTCTCAATTCTATCCTGTTAGGAAAAATTAAATTCAAAAATCTATTTCCTTTTTCTCAAAATAACCAGATCCAAAGAGACTTATGTCATCTTTTTTTACTTAACCTTTGTGCTGTCTCAACCGTCTGGTCCCAATCCTGCAAGGCTAGTTGTAATTTCATTTTCTTTATAAAAGCAGGAAGGAAGCTTGGAAAGTTCACGATTATCTGGTTCACAGTGTCCAGAGCACCTGAATAATTCTGGCGCAACTCAAGACATTCTGCCTAATGGGAAGAAAAAAAGTGACATCAAACCTGTGATCTTATATATCAAGGTTCTAACAATTCAGAGTAGACAGAATACTAATTAGTGTGTTACATTTTCTGGCTTTCTGTAAAAAATACTTATCACTTTATTTTGAAAAAGAAAAAGCTTTTATCAAAATAAAATGTCAAAGCATCACAGAATGATAAAAATATTTCACGTAACTTCTAAAATTTACTTTTAAATAGCTAAAATCTGATTAAAGGATATTTTTAAATGGTTTCAGAAATAACATAAAATAAAGAATTTAGATTTAGAACAGAAAAATTATCCTTTTAGATTAAAATAATTCCAGGACACTTGCAAGTAGCAAATTTAAGAAATTTTAGAAATTGTGCATTTTTTAAAAATTACTTTTAGGTTAAAGAAGATACAGTTTTAAAGAAACAAAATAAAATTCAAACAAATCCTTCCACATGTTTACTTCCAGGAAATATTTTAAGGGAATAATTGTAAAACAGCACGATGAAGCACATCAATAATTTTAATGGCAAATTATTTATGTATAATCGAAAAAACAAAAATAACCCAAATTGGACATACATGAGTAGTTAAATTATGGCATATCTATTTAATAAAATTTTAGTTACTTATTAAAAGTGATTAATTAGACTTATAGATCTTGCAGATCTATATTTGCTAACGCGAAGAAATATGCTTAATAGTTTAACTGGTTATTTCCAGTGGTGATGTTTATTTTCTTACCTAGATTTTATTATATTTTCTGAAAAAAAGTTTTTACTCTGTCTATGCATTACTTTCATAGCTTGAAATCATAAAGCTATAAATACATTTAACTAGAACTATAATATATACCTGAAAACAGTTTAAGAGTGTATTTCCATAAAACTAAAGGAAAGTATGAGAACCATCCAAAGATGGCACTTGGTCAAAATAATTACCATTTAAGTTTCTAAATAACTGACAATAATAGAAAACAGATTCCTGTAGATAATTTTTAAAAATTAGATTTGCTTTAGGAATCTACCTAAATAGCGGTGCTAAATAAAATCACGCTACAAAGACCTTACGTGTATCCACAGCTAATATTTTTCCTTAGACCACTGCCCTCTCATATATGTGTAAAGTACTATTTTTAAATTAAATTTGCTGTACATTTGGTTTGCATCATTCCTGTTTTGAATTAGACTAATGTAACCCTTCTGCTGAATTAACTGAAGAACTGGTACATGGGCTTGCAATTTTAAATGAGGTCGTCAAAGAAAGTGGCAGTTGAGAAAAGACTTATAGGAGGTGAGGGTTAAAGCACGGTGGGCATCTGAGGGAACAACGCATGTCAAATGGAATGGAAGACCTAACAAGTTCAAACACCTTAAGGCATATTCAGGGGTAGCAAAGAGGCCAATGTGGAAAGGGTAAAGACAGTGAAAAGTAAAAGGCCAGAAGAAAGAACTCCGGGGTGAGGGCGTAACTGAATACACAACTGAAATGCGGCATATTAGAAAAAGAATTTAAACCAATCTTGAAGAGCAGTGGAAAAAGGAAATTTCCTCCTGAGCTGTTCATATTAACACCTGGAATACCTCCTGCTCCAGAAAATACAGACTAGTTTATTTAAAAGGAAGAAAAATATTCAAGAAGAACTGTTTTTTAAACTTGTCAAATGCCCAATTCCTACAGCTGTGCCATCAGGTCAGATTTCAGAGCCAGTGACTTGAATGACAGTTCCACTGATGACACACCTGAACAAGTTCACTGTGCACGCAGATCGACGGGAGGAAGGCTGTGAGGGCATTAACAACAGCCAGGATACCAAGACAGCAGTGCACTCCTCTTTTTCTCTCTCATCTTCTCAAATTATTGCTTATATAAGAGACTATAGTTCCCCCCCCCCGAAAAAAATTCTTTTTTGCTGAATCAAAAATAAAAATAATAAATTGTAAAGTGTTCAGAAGGCATCAATGGGAATTGAAGAAAGGGTCCCATTTAAATATTTCTACCCACCAATGATTTCCAAGGACTGACAACTGCTCATTCATTACAGCGTACATCCATGCACATTATTTCTCTGCTCAAAACTTGTCACTGGCTGCCTATCCATCCAATTCCAGGCCTTACAGCACAGGCCTATCTCTCCCCTCAACCCCACTCCCAACTGCCCTCACCCTCAGTTTCTTTCTTCTGCCCTTTAACTTTCACTCTCTTTACACTTTCCACACTGGCCTCTTTGCTCCCCCTGAATATGCCTTAAGGTGTTTGAACTTGTTACATCTTCCATTTGAAATGCATTGTTCCCTCAGATGCCCACAGTGCTTTAACTAACCTCACCTCCTATAAGTCTTTTCTCAAATGTCCCTTTCTTTGACTACCTCATTCAAAATTAAAAGTCCATGCACCAATTCTCCTTCTCCCACCTTTTCTGCTCTGTTTATAATTTCTCTATTACATTAATTACCCTTTAGGATACTGCATATTCTACTTACCTACTTTGTTTTTTGTCTGTCTCTCCCATTAGTATATAAGCTCCATAAAAGCAGGAGGTTTTCTCCTGCTCAGGGATTTCCCTAGTACGCATAGTACGGGGAATACTAGGGAATGTGTGAAGCTTTGCACATATTGACACACAATAAATGTCAAGGAAAGAATGTGTGAATCAACAACAACAAAACACCACAACCAAGCTCAGATTCAGGGACTTTGGCAGGGAATACACTGATCTAGTTTACTGTGTCCCACACAAATGCAAGCCACCCTAACAGTTGAGAGTTGATTATACTATCATGAAAATTACCATCTTTTCTGAGCTAGTTTTGTTGCATTTCGGATATATTATAGAGAAATTTTAAATCATGATATATTTACTCCAAGTCCAACTCACCTTACCCAGCAAAGCAAAAAGATCATTTCCGTCTTCCAACACCTCTTCAAAACACCTCAGTGCTTTTTTAGTATAAGGTTCTTTTCCTCTTGTAACATCAAGCCATGCTTTTAAAACCTGCCCCTGAAAAATGAAAAATTCTAATTCCATTGTTTCAGAAATGAAAAGAAATAAACCTAATGTCATTTTTTGGTAATTAATGACAAATAGGACCCTACCAAATAATGTTATGAACAATAAAATTCTATGTAGTGAAATCTTTTTTGAACCTTGGTCAGCCTAGAGTCTTGAGAATATTACAAATTTCAACTCTTAAGATTATTACTGGGCTCTTGACTAATATTAAGAAGTTTGTCAAATATTCCACTATTGGTAAAACCAAAATTCTCTTTGAAACTTTGCTGATAATTTACTAATGATAATTGTAAAACATGTAATCTAATATATAAATAAGAATTTACTGTCTCTTTTTAGACAAACAGCCCAAATAAACTAAGACGAAATAACAGAAGATGTCTAGCTTCACATATACTAATAACTCAGATAATTTGGCAACTATCTTTTTAACTTGTGACTAGTCCAGTGAATTTCAAATGAAAGGATGAATGATCTGAGAAAATTAAAAACTGAAATCATGGGTGTTTATCTTTAGATGTGTTAGTGGGCCAAAGGGTTGTAAGAGATTTAGGATTGAGAAAACTATAGTTCAAGATCAAAAAAAGTATTGTAAAATATGCTCTTCTATTAAAAAATGTCTGTTAATTCATAAATTTATAAACCTTTAAATAAGGTTACATTCACCTCCCTGTATTTCACCTGAAAATACAGATAAGAATCTCAATCAATGCTCCTTCCACTCAGTGCCAGCATTTAAATGGTTTCACCTGCTGTCTCTGTGTGGCTGACTCCCAGCCTACATTCCTAGCCCCAAACCTCTTCTAAACTTCTCTCCTCTTTTTCCAAAAGTTCATTTGCTATCTCCTTCCTACTGTTTTGTAAGCACCTAAAATCCAGCATTATTTCAAACACATCACGTACCTCCAAGATTAGCTTCTCATCCCAAGGTATTTTCTACTTATGTTAACTGGTCTTTGAAATATCTAGGCTTAAAAGCCATCCTGGTATGTGACACCTTATTATCTCTGCCCACTACTGACTATTTGACAAGTCCTGTGAGTGATGAAAAGTTCTCGACTTTGTGCTTACCGTATAGTATTTTAGTGTAATCCCAAGTACTACTCTTCCTTTTTTATTTTGTCACACCACAGTTTCTTCCCAAGCTAGTTCATCCTGAAAACCATTGTTAACTAACCTTCTGGATTTATGCTCTAATATGCCTATCTCTCCCACAATTAAAAAATCTTCAATGGCATTGCAATGCCATGAAATTAGATGTAATTATTTGTACACAGTGGTCAAGACCCGTGAATTTGTCCCAGTCTACTTCTCCAAACTTTTCTTTCACTCTTATCCTGTGTGCCTGTAAGGTAGGAGGTCTCACTGGACCCACCTAGAATCTATATGCCTCATTTCCTTCTCTTATGTCCCATCTTGGTAACGGCTACTTCCCTGCTCCATAATCTTTGTTGAAATTATATCCATTTTTTAGGTTTTAGCTCAAATGCTACTTTCTTCAAAAAAATTCTTCTTCTCCTAACACTTACAGAGATGATCCCTCCTTAACTTAAAATTGTGCCTAACATAAAGTAAGCAGGCAATAAATGTTCCCCTTCACTTCCTTTTATATGTTAATCACATCTCTTACGCCATTTGTAATTTTTCTCACAATATTAGCTGGCTATTTGCTTCATATGCTACCACTAGATGAATCATTCCTGAAAATAAAGTTCATGTACTCTTTATCTTTGATTATTAACAGTATAAAGAATCACACCTTATACCTACAGCTGTTCAATAAGAAGAGAGGAAGGGGACAAAAGAGGTAAGCAAAGGAAGGAAGGAGGAAGAAGGGGGGAGGGAAGGAACCAGGGAGGGATCTTTTTAAGTGTTAATGGTGTAAAGATAAACAACCTTAGAGAACCCTTACTTTACAATATATTAAAATAAAGCTGTCATTTATAAAGTCAGAATAGATAAGAGAAAGAACTGAACTGCAGATACTACTGAATATATTAATTGCATAAGTTTCCCTTCATGTTACTACTTTAAAGCAAGAGAAACAGCTACCTCTTTACTACCGTCTGTTATTTTGATCATTCTGTCAATGTATTCTCTGGCCTTATCAAGGCGACCAGTGTGCCATAAGAATAAGCCTGCGTAGTACAAAGCTTTCTGTCCAGCTCCTTTACGTTGGTCCTTCAGTCTGGCATCTGATTCCAGAATAGCTTCTCTATCTGGGAGGAAAAAATGACATTAAATGGAAATTAAGTTCTGAATCAAGTGTTTACAGTAAGTCAGGTAATTAATAGGGCAGAGAATTTAGTTCTTCCCTCTATGTAGAACTAATAGAAATAAAATGCAAGCCACATATGTAATTTAAAATTTTCTAGTAGACCTATCAAGGAAATAAAGATATGTAAAATTAATCTTATTCACATATAATGTACTCTTGTGTACAATGGGACCCATGTTTTGGGCCCAAACTTTCAGGGGATAAAACCTTTCATTTTAATTTTATAATTCAAATTCAAAGGTTTAAGCTTATAGTGTACCAAAGCCATTTTGACATTTTCCAGGGAATTTTCCAGTAACTTTTGTAAAATTATCAGCTAGATTGTTAACTCCTCTGTAAAGTACATGAAGAGAAATAATGGTCCATTATTGGCCAGCAATGCCTTCATCACAAGCTCACTGTAAGTTCAAAAAAACTGATCACTGTATTCCAGGGTATAATTTTGCATGTGGATATTGTTACTGCTTTCTAGAATTATACTTTTAATGTATAAGCATAAATAAAACAAATTCCATAACATAGACATGGAATTAGTACCACCCATGTATAATGCACATCCTTATTTTTCCCTCAAAAATTTGGGCCAAAAAGTACATATTATACACAGCAAAACACGTCGGAGGAGATATTGGGCATTCCTTTTTCTTACTGACTTTCAAAAATCTGGGGTGCATTTTACACTTACAGTATATCTTAATTAAGCATTTTATACTTACAGTGTATCTTAACCAAGTATTTTCTTCAGAAATACTTGATTAGTAGTTAGATTACATAAAACTTATCACAGAAAAGCAAATTTGTAGACTCAAGTTTTTCCAAACATAAGTTTTCTAATAACTGAATCAACTATCGGTTTTAAATTTAACAACTAAATTAGAATTAAGTAAAATCTAAAATTCAGTTCCTCAATCAACTCAGCTATGTTTCAAGTGGCCAAATGCCACATGTATTTAACAAGCACGGTAATACACAACGCAGCTGTATCGGTTACGTCACTGCCAAAATAGAAAGCCTATGTATGCTTATCTTTTTAAATAATAACACTTGTAAACATTTAATGATTCTAAAACAATGCAATTATTAGGGACAAGTCTGGTACTAGTACTGAAATTACCTGGCTCTCATATGCAATTCTAAAATACAAAAATATACCAGGTTACTGTCAGGAGCGAGTGAAAAGTTCGTATAATTACTCTTACTGACTGTCAGTTTAATACTGACTGCTTGGCTCCTTAAACAGGTGGCCTCCCTAAACAAAGACTCTATTCGCTTATATCAAATCTATTTTATATGAATATCTGGTGAGGATACAAATGTCAATCATATCGATATTTTGGATTGAATTAGAGTCAGGACTACTTATACAATAAGGAATAAGAAATATCAAAGTTGAGAGTGGTGATTCCAAAAGTTCTACCTTTCTGGAAATAGCTACCAAGGAAAAAGGTATGTGATGCTTCCCTTAAAGGGTCATGATATAAATTTCAATGTGCAATGAACAAGGCACAACTTCACAAGTTAAAGAAACAAAAGTGTTGCTGTAGGGTTACAGATTCCTTGGCAAGATGGTCCTTTTTCCCTCTCCCCAACTTCCCTCCCCAATTCCTTCAGAAGTGTTTGGTAAATAGCCTTGAGTTAACAGAAAAGAACTCTTCAGGGCAGGAGAGAAGCAGGCATTGTTACTTTTTAGCCCAGATTCCATCAAATCCCTAATGGGTATCAGTTAACTGTAACATTGTACAAAGTTGGCTACTGTTGGCTCTCAGCCCAAGTCTCTTTATAATCAGGGTTTACATCAGCATTCAGGAAGAATGCACACTAACAGTATATGCCCTTCCTAGACAATATTTACAGACTTCTGGGCCCCTACTAGAGCTCAAGTCCATTCCCATTATCCATGGTGGAAAGCTGAGTCAGAATTCAGGTGTTTCTAAGCAATATTTGTTTCCATCTTTCCTGTGTGCCGGAGATCACATTCCTTAACAGATCCAGTATTGGTGAGGATAACCAATTAAGTGAAAACTTGATTTTACAAAGAAAATATTGTGTACTAATTTATTTAGACTTACTGTCTACAGCTCTCTTAAACACAAATTTTCTGCTCTAAGCAGTATTTCCATGGGAGTATAGAGACAGAAGATCCACAGAAGAGACTAATCCTGAATCAATTCCTTGTATCTGCCCACCTGTTTCTCCCATCTGGTCAGCACTCTTCATATTAAAATTCTACCTGACCTTTAAAGATCAGATTAAGCTCAAATTTTAAACCACAAAGACTCTCCAGCCTAGTCCTATGGATTAATAGTATGTATCAATTTCAGTTAATTATTGACTTTTTAAAAATTAAATCATAGCAGTGTACATTAATACTATCATGGGATACAGTGTACTGTTTCTATATACAATTTGAAATACTTTCATCCAACTGGTTAATATAGCCTTCATGTCTTTTTCTTAGTTATTGTGTTAAGACATTTATATTCCACATTTAGAGAGATTCATATGTACCCTTATAGGATGAACCATAGGTGTGATCCCGCCAGTCACCCTACCTCCACCCACCCATCTCCATCTCCTCCCCTCCCTCTCCCCTCTCTCCATATTCCTGGTAACATTGAAATTTAATCTTTGGGGTTTTTGCATTTTGTTTGCTCTAAATTTTAAACCTGATGACATGAATCACTTGTTACAATTCTTTTGTATCTTCTAACTATATGTGACATAGTTACTTGCAGAAAATAAGCACAGAAGTGTTGAATTGGTTGACTTACAACTGATTTGTACATGTGTTTGTGTAGTGAGGAAGGCATGTGAGACTTTGATACAGAAGAAACTCTTTCCTAATATTTAAAAAACCATTCTGTGACATTTAATTCTTGTCTGATTATCTGTGCCAGAATCTATATTTATAATCCTATTAGCTGTTACTGGATATGTACAAAGGAATATAATGCTATTTCTTCTTCATTACCTACAGTTGGGATATACTGGCCTAAACTATTAATTATACGCAAGGACAAATCACCCAACTTTAATTGCTGGCTTATGCGTAAAGTTCCCTCTATAACTTATTCATATTTCCCAACCTACATTAAATAAAAATTTACTGAACATCTTGCAAGAGCCAGGCACTATGTGGGGTATAAAAGCCTTTAAGAAGCTTATTATACAGAAGAAATAAACTGTACATACCTATACATTTGTACATAACAAGTTGTAAAGTTGGCCACTTCAAGGCTATTTATGGATATATAGTACCTATTTTCTGGCTGTCCTTTTTTATCTAACAATTCCTAATATGTTTGCCTTTAAGTTAACTTGAACAATTGCTATGTTCTAATAAAACCACAGGCTTTTAAGGAATATGAAAGTTTACACAACACGTGCCTTATCCTTGAAGAATTTATACTCATCACAGAAAGATAAAACACATGATACAAATATTACCTATATACTAATGAACATGATCAGACTGAATGGTGTAATAATTGAGAAAAATAAAATGAAGAGAATAGGAGACACTGTCCTCTGCATTGTGCTTAAACCCCATACCTGGATTAGGGCTCATTTTATGGGCGTACACCAGTGCAAGTAGCGAACAAAGACACACATCTTGTTTATTTTTAAGCGCCTCAAATTCTCGAAGAGCTTCTTGAATTTTACCTGAAAGTCAAGATTACGATATAAATTTTTTTTTCTTAGTGCAAAGCAAGAATTTAAAACTGATGGAACATGTTTACTAACTGGCACATACCTTCCATTAATGTACCATAGGCATGATAAAACCTGAAGACCAAGTCACTGGCGTACCTCCTGATTCCTTCGTTGGCAACAAGTAACATATGATGGAAATATTTTTCTTTACAATAGTAATTAATCAAAGTCTGAAAGGAAATAATGACAAAATGTTACAAAGGGATACTGGGGTGCTTGGAAATACTCTAAGAAAGGGATGGATGTTAATCTAAAACGTGGAATAATCTAAACCTTAGGTAATGTGATTTTTTTTTCTTCCTTGTAACCTTTAAATATTGTTAATGGTTAGCACTCAAAGGTAAGGATTATAGAAGAGAATAAAAATAAAATTACTGAAAAAATGCAACATTTTAATAATTCCAATCTTCTTCCCTAAATTTTTCAATAATACTTAAATCAGGATAATTTCACACCTTTCTTTCCCCTTTTTACATCTTTTTATTTTCTTGAAGGTTTTAGAAAACAGAAAAAGAGATCAAAAACAAGAATTAAAGATAAGAACCTTCCACTGTTAGACCATAGGTTTCTTAAATAAAAAATCCTTTTAAAGTTTGTGATATTTTGTTATTATAGCACTATAAAGTAATGATAAATTAAAGTCAGCAGATCACCAAATGTCATTTTACCTGTTTTATATGTGAGTTCTGCAACAATAATTAGTAAGAATGATCTAAACTATATTTCAATGAAAATGATCATCATTAAGCTTTTTCCAAAATTATACGGTTTTGATTATAATGTAGAAAACATCTACCAAGACCTACTACGTTCTGATTAATTGGGCTTGTGCATTACATCATTTTCCTCAGGACTGTGTCTAAAGCTTGGTTGCCAACCTAATCAGAGAGAAGCCACACTTACACCATCATGTTGGTACACCTGGTTCTCCTCCAGAAACCCATGTGGGAACTTCCATACCTACCGACTTTAACTACCGGTCACTGCAGAAGTGAGAAATATGGATAAGGGAGTAGGGAACTTGTGGCCTTCTGATTTCCAGGCTGTACTTTTTTAAGCACCAAAGGAGGCAAGAAAAGCTTCATCTTTCTTTGCTGCATCATTTTAATGAAAGGATTTGTTCTGTAAAATTTGGATTCAGTCAAAAGGCTGCACTTAAGGACCTAGAAGCCCCAGGCAGCCTTAAGGGTTCAGGTTCCCCACCCCTATTTCTGGAAGACTCCAGTCCACGTCCTTCTGTCTAATCAGTTAGGCAAATGTTCTAATTTTTGCTTTGCTGTCCTCCTTGTAGCTGCTGCTCTCCATTCCTCTTCTTAGCCATGTCTTCTAAAGCGTGAATCACACCCCATCTCCCATACCTCCTTGGCACACCTCAGTGAAGTGCACTGCTACTCCCACCCCCACCCCCTAAATGACCTCCTACAGGGACACTTAATACTGTCTTACTTGACTCCTGTCCAGCATTTAGCATCACTTAGCACCTACATCGTCCTGAAGGGCAGTGGCCTAGTATCATAAAAGGACATCGATTTAAAAGCAGAAAGACTTGGTTTCATACATCTGGTCCATCTTCAATACCTCAGTCTGTTCATTTGTAAAATGCTGTCAATAATTTACTGGCTATTGTGAGGATTAATTAAGGCATCATAATATAAAAGTCCTGTTCTAAAAAGAAACCCATGAACTCACATGAACCCCATGTGTTGATAGGATAAAAAATGTATTCAACCAAGACCTCTTGCCTAAGCTCCAGATTCATATTTTCATTGGCTTACTTACACCTAGGCCAAAAATTACACCATGAAATTCCCCTTTCCCCTAAGTCTGACCTGTCAGTAGGTTTTTCCATTTCTCTAGTCCAGTTCCCACTAACTACACCTATTGCCACAGCCTTGGTTTATATTAGGCGATTCAGTCCAATAGCCACTTATTGATTATCTACTAATGCCAGGCACGGGACTAGGAAGGTACTGTGAATATAAAGGTGAATAAAACATGGTTTCAGTTCCAGAAATGCTTACATTTTTTTTAAAATAAGACTATAACCTAAAGACCAATTGAAACACAATGTAGTCAGTGTGAGAAAAGAGCTTATAAATTGCTTTGGGAATGTAGGATAATAACATTTAGACAACTCTGATGCCTGAGATGGGGTGAGAAGATGGAAGAGCAGAATTAAGGAGATTCTTGCAGAAAATGGCAGAGCTGACTCTAGAATTGCAAACCTTCACTCTCTCTGCCTCCACACAAATACTTACTCTTTCTATTTGTCTTTTATAATTTTAAGGAAGGTCTAGGAGTTAGTCTGGCAGAGGAACTATGACAACACAAATTAAAAAAAAAAAAAAACAATGGTACCTTGGGATAGGAGTAGTAACAGAGATCACTAAAAAACCACTCCATATGCAGGGGTCCTCAAAACTTTTTAAACAGGGGGCCAGTTCACTGTCCCTCAGACCGCTGGAGGGCCGGACTGTGGGCCCCGGGACAAATCGGCTGCTAAGCAAGACAGGCAGCAACAGCAAAAACACCTGGCGGGCTGGATAAATGTCCTAGGCAGGCGGCAGTTTGAGGATGCCTGTTCTAGAGCAAGAGTTAGCACACGGCAGCCTGCGGGCCACATCTGGCTTGCTGCCTGGTTTTGTATGGCCAGCGATCTAAGAATGGTTTTTATATTTTCAAGCAGTTGAAAAAAAAAAGAAAAAGAAAACTATTTCATAATGTAAAAAATATATGAAAGTCAAATTTCAGTGTTCATAAAGTTTTACTACAACACAACCATGCTCATTTTTTTAAGTACATCTATGGCTATTTTCAAACACAACAGCCTAGTGGATGTGGCAGAGACCACATTGCCCACAAACCCTAAAATGTGTGCTATATGGCTGGTTGTAGTGAAAGTTTGCCATTCCCTGCTCTTGAGATTTAAGTATGGCAGGGAGTAGTAGACAATGAGGTTGGGGAGGAACAGAGGGGGAAGAAGAGCCTGATATTAAGGACCTGGACTTGATCCTCAAGTCTAAGTGATAAGGGGCCACATTTTTAGAATGAAAGCTTTTGTTCTAAAGAGTTCATGTGGATTCCAGTGCAAAGATATATTTAAAAGGATGAAAACCTTTATGGAGAAAGAGGTATAGCATGACATAAGGACAATGTAAAAATTCAGGCTAAAAAGTAAGACTCTAGCACTCCCTAACCTCCTGCACTGCCAAATTGTCCTCCATCCACTTATCTCACATGGTACATATTTTATTTACCTACTTATTGTCTGACTCCTCCCATTCAAATCTAAGCCCCAAGATTGGAAGGGATTTTCGTAGTTTTATTTTTGCAGTATTCTTTGCTTAGAGTAGTGCTAGACTCAGAGGAAGCATTCAGTAAATATTTGTTGAATGAACTGAATTAAGGTTTTTCTCCAGCATTAGACTGAAAAAATTGTGACAGTAGGGCCTGTTCAGTGTTGCTCCCTATCGTTTCCTTAAAAAATACTTGTGGAAGGAATGCACAAAGATCATCATCTGAAAAGAAAACTTTTATTTTCAAGTCTCCTGTCTTTAATTCTTTAATATCATTATTTCTTAATAGGCCTGCCATGGATGAACTAGTGATAAACAGAGAAGAACGTCCCTCTAAACTCTCTTCAACTTGTTTCAAGTAATCTTCCTGGGCTCCTGTTACTGTCCAACTGGGGAGCTGACCCTAGTTCGATGTTAAGTCCTTAAAATTAGCACCTGGAGGCCCACTGTCACATGTTTCCCAAGCTTTCCTCGCAAACATGATGCAAAAGTAAAACTAACACAACAAACAGGGTGGGGATAGCACACTAACGACAATTCGGAAGCCGCGCGCCGAGATGGTGGGTGGGCTGCCGCGGACCTCCAGATTTCCGGGCAGGGCCCCCGGAGGCTGACCAGGTGAGGTCGGCCCTCCCTCCCGGGCTGGCACACTCACAAACCCGGACGGCACAGGCCCGACAGGGGCACAACGGCCTCGCGAAGTCCACCCGAGCTCTCCACGCCCCCAAGCCCCTCGCCACCCCCAAAGGAACCCCTGTCCAGCTCCCACTCGCCCGCTCACCTTCAGCACCTCCGAGTCCATGGCTCCCCCAGGCCGGACCGCAGGGATCACGGCGGCCCGCTGGCCTCAGATCAGCCAAAGACCCAGGGGCGCGGGACCCGGCCGAGGCCCCAGCTGCGCCAGCGCTCAGGGAGCGACGGCAGGGGCGGGGCGGGGCCGCGCCGCCATTGGCTGCCGGAGGAAGGGGGCGGGCCCTTGCGGCAGGGATTGCGGGGAGCGCTGAGCCCGCGCGGGCGGGCCCCCGGAGGGGGGACTGAGAGGTCGACAAGGAAGGAGCCGAGGACCGGGTTTAGGGGGCGAAGCAGGATGGTGGGCGAAGCAGGATGGGCCGCGACCCAACTATGGAGCTGGGAAGGAAAGTCACCTGGGAAAGTGGTTCTCGGAAGACAGTGGGTGGGCGGGCCGAGGATGTAGAATTAGGGAAAATAGGAAACGGAGGAGGAAGTAGGAAGAAGGGCAAGTCGGTATCCCCTCACTGGCTGTAAAAAAAGGCACCATTTTCTGCACGTTTGTGCAGAGGCCGATTTCCCGCAATGCGGATAGACTTGACCAGCGTGAGGAAAAGCGATAACTTTCCCGTGTGGCGGTTGTGTTGTGGCCACAAGGTGGCGCAAAAAAATCATCAATTACAGAAATACGACGAACTTTTTAGGCCCATTTTATTGTCAGGGATTGCTGCAGTCTCTTTGTATTTTGTTAGAAGGTTTATTAGCTCGCTTTGTTGTTGTTTTACCAGCCCTGCTAAGAGGGACAAATAAGTTACACTTTCTTTTTTATGAGTGCGTATTTTTAATAATGGTGTTGATTTCAAGTAAAGAATAAAATTAATCTCAATGCAAACTTTTATGTTCGCACTTGTCAGTCAACTCTGTCAGCTACTAATAGGTTTCTTCAGTTCAGGGAATTCCATTGAAATACAATGGGCTGAGAGATTTTCTACTTTTGCTTACAGAGATTTAAAAAATAGTAGTTAAAAACAGTATGCAAGGTTTAAGTGATCCTTGTTGAATCTCAAGGCTTGGATTGGTTCCTACGCATGCCCACTAGTGGGGTTAACATCTCTGGGTCCCTCAGATGCAGATTCTGAAAGGTATCTCAAAGTCCAGCCTTAGGTTTTACAATAGAAGCACTGGGAAGGTCACAAATCTTGCCCTTGTCAGGGAGTATATGGGCCACTTAAAGCAGTAAGCACTTACAGCAGTAGGGAAATTAGGGAACAATGGCTGGGTAACTAGCCTATATCTATACTTTTATAGAAATCAGACTTTTATTACTTTTTCTACCTTATGGCCTTACATTATTTTAATATAGGTGTTTTCACCTGGCTCTCTAAGAATGTTAGTTAGATTAAAACTATTTCAGGGTTGGCTTTGACTCTCATAATAATTTGTTGTTCCTTGATAAAATCTTGTGAGAACTTATCAGAAAACCCATCCAAGACTTGAGAACCCTTACTCAGGAAATGTCCCAGTTGAGGAAAGAATTTCTGCTTCCTAGCCCTCTGAGTTCATCCTCAACTGACAGCAAAAGTAATCCTCTACCCCTTTAGTTGCGAAAACACTCTTTAAAAACCTTAGCCCCAAATTTTCAGGGAGATGGATTTGAGAAATGACTCCTATCTCCTTCCTCAGTACCTTTGGGAGTTAAACTCTTTCTCTGCTAGTGTTTCAGTATATTGGCCTTTTCTGGGTGGTGGGCAAGGAACTCCATTTGGTGGTAAGACAGGCATGGTGTTTTGTGCTAAATATTTCAAACTTAGAACATAATTCAGTTACAGAAATCCTACAAAAGACTAGATTAATATGACTTTAACAATCTTAGAAAGGTAGGTTGATCATCTGTTCTGTGAACCATGACCCTGGGCATTTCCTTCCAGATGAACTTTGACCTGAACCAGAAGAACCAGAAGAGAACCAGAAGAGTCAAGGTTCTATGCTTCAGTGAGTGCCTTGGCATGTGGTATTTTCTTGTGTATACCAAGAACAGACCAAGAGATCTTTCCTGGATCTCAGGTGAGTTATAACCATGCCTTCCCTGAAAAACTGACATGTTTCTTAGCACAAACTTATTTATTGGCTATAAACTTTTGAGTTTGACATCCAGGACCCTTCACCTCATTGTTTTTTCTTTGTCTCACACTTCTCAATTTAGGAGCCTTTATTTCACATATACGGGTACAAGATGCCGTAACTTCTTCCAGGAATGCTTTCCCCTTCTGTTTTGAACTCTCTCTTCACCTGAGAAAATCTCCTCTTTCTTCAGAGTTCACCTCTACTCTCATTCTCCATGAAGCCTTTAAGAGTCACATTACTGGATGGATATGAGCAATAGCATAGTGTAGTGGCAGGAATATGGTCTCCCAGACCATAGGTTGAGTTGTTATTATGCTATTTATGTTTGTACTTGGGAAATAATTTCCATATTTGCTAAAGAACCTAAATGCCTTATTGACATATGAAAAGTTCCTGATACATACTAGGCATCCTATAACCAACAATTTCCATTAAACACATAGTACTCTACAAGACTTACTGCACTCACATGGTCCTTGTTTTATAGTTATGGTATATTTTGTTTGTTTGTTTGTTTGCTTGCTTGTTTGATCTTCTCTACTAGATGGCTAGAACCTTAAAGTCAGGCCATATAATGTAGTTGTTAAGAGCTTAGTCCCCTGTATTTAAACCCTAATGCCACCATTCACTAAATGTTTACTTGGAAAAATTATTTTTCTGTGCTTCAGCCATAACCTATTAGTAGGACTAATAGCTTAGAAAATTGTTAAGAAGATTAAGTAAGTTAATGTTTAAAGCATAGACCAGTGTTGATCATGTAAACATTGAATAACTATTGCCTATAATTGTTCTCCCAACAACAGAAAAACACAGAGTATAGTACTGATCACATAAGCATTTATTAAATTTTGTGTCTCTGAAAAGTCCTTTCTATTATGTCTGTGTTTGGTTTTCTTCTCCCCAGTTTACACTGACACATTTATACCTTCCTCATCTATCCTGATTAAAGGAAAACTAGGTAGTTTGGGTAAACACAAAAGCAAAAGTAAATGAACTAAAAGCAAAACAGAGATAAGTGTATGTTATCATTAAATTTGGGAGCCTGAAAAAACTATAGAGACTTATTAGCCTTTTGTTTTACAAAAGAGTAAAACGAAGCCAAAAAATATGAAATAATCTATAAAAGGTCCTACTGTTTCCTACTCTCAATTTCAGTCATTAGCTGTGAATATTATGATGAATAATGTTTGCTTTTCTTTTCTTTTTAAAGCTTGTTAAATTAAATTAACTTTGGCCTACAGCTACCTCCATACATAGTGAATTATAACCTAACAATATGTAAACAAATGTCAAGCTTAACATGAAAATACATTCTTATGACAAGTAGCCAACTCTTGGCCAATCATAGCAGGCACACTTTCAGTGGATGACAGGCTGCAAACTGTTCGGAATGTCCCAATTAGCCAAACACTGAGGTGACACTAACCAGGCTATTTCTGTATGTAATTTCCTTTTTCTGTCTATAATTACTGCCTGCCCAGGTTGCCAGGTAGAGCTCTCTGAACTTTTATAGTTCTAGGTACTACCTGATTCATGATTCATCTATTTTCGCAAATAAACTCTGCTAAGTTTAATTTATCTAAAGTTATTTTTTTAACAGATTATTACTATGAAGTTGATACAAGATATATAGATGTTTAAAAGAGATGAAATCCAAATAAAGCAGCAAATAGTTCAGGCAACATCAAGGAAAATTAGAATGTTTGGACTCTGACTTGTTGAGTTGGAGTTAAGATCCTGTCCCTTTGTAACTTGGCAATATGGGGCAAATCATTAACTTTTCTCTGCTTTAGTGTATATATTTGTGATGGCTAATTGGAAATAGGAAGCATAATATTTACTTTGTAGATGTATAGACTAACTGAGACTATGTGAAAATATTTCAAAAGTTGAAACACACTGTGTGAAAGTTTGTAGCACATTTATAAGAAAGCTTCTTACCAATGAGCTGTCATCTTACCTCCCTGGGAATAGGACCCAGCCTATGCTACCTATGGCTCTTTTCTTTCTAAATAAGATGAGACAAATATACCATGCTTTTGAATAGTGGATGAGGGTAATGGATGCTGATGCAAAAAGTAAAATTGTCGTAAGTTATCCCTTTAAAATCTTCAGTTTTAACCATTTAAGATTGGGTGAAAAGACAGAAGTCAGTCCCTTGCCTTTTGGATTTCTTTTGCTAAATGCACTTGATCTTAGCCTAAAGGCCGAGAAGCGATTCTCTTTTGCTAGATGCCACTCAGCATGGTGAAAGGTAGGAAGTGATCTGAGTTCTAACATTATGCTGTTTAGTCATTCATTCACTTACTCACCAAACATTTAATGTGTGCTTATGGCAGAGAAAAATTCTTGTCCCTACCTTCTTAGAGTTCAAAATCTTATAATATTAGATAAACATTGAACAGGAATTCACAAAAGGAAGACATTGACAATATTCACAAAAGGAAGTGAATGAATTCCTATAATTTGCCTTTCATACCCCTATATCATACTTTATTTTTCTCTAAAAATATAGCGGCAACTCACATAGCTGATGGCTAAGAACATCTGATAACAGTAAACAGTAAACTTACTTCCTGCTCGCCTGAATTATCAGATGTAGTAAATGTTTCTAGCCAAACATCATGACACAGATTTAGTAGGAAAGCTAGCTTTTCTTGGTTTTCTCGCCTAGATCTTGACATTTTATCTGTGCAAAAGTAGGACAGAGAAGACATAGAAAAGTACATTAAAAAGAAGCTGGTCCTTTGAAATAGGAAGAATGAATTATGTAAGTGCTTATAACTATGACATACCTGGGTCATTATGAAAGTTTTGAGATACACAAAACTCAAGAAATGTACCATCCACCCAAATGAAGCCCTCCCTGCAACACTGAGAAACTGAACAAGTTGAAACTTGTACAGGTGAATCAGAAAGGTCATTGTCAACTGTGTTTTTTGGAAGGGAAATAATGGGCCATAACACTGTCTCAA